TAAAATTTTATTTAAAGTTTATTTTTCTAGTTTTTTGAGATGTAAAATTATTAATAATTTATTTATAATCGATTTCTTGACTAGAATTATATATGTTTTCACTTTCTAGGATTATTATTCAATTCTTTTAGGATTTTCTGATTTTCTAAAAAATCTGTGACTCACCAATTTCTTCTTCTTCTTCTTGGATTTCATTGTCTGTCTAACTCAACTATATTAGTGATTTGTTCATCTATCACAAAATTTTTTCTAATTTTTTATTTAAAATTTTTATTGTTCGCTAAAAATTTATCAAGCGCTCCTTTTGGGATTGTATTAAAGTTCCAATTCTTCCATTTTTTGGCATTTTTAATACGCGGATTCGTATTTTCTTATTGACATATTAAAATTCATAATAAATAAATAAAAAGATGATACATATACTTACAAACAAAAGATATCAAAAAATAACAAATTCTAGATGCAAAGTAATAAGAAAAGTACGAAACAATTGAACCTGGTTTAACAAAAAGTTATAGATAACTTGATATTACTTTTGTTGCTTCAATATTTTTGGTGCAATGCCGGGAAAGCTTGACAAAAAAGGGTTGCAATTGCCTTTTGCTATCTTACTTGACGGAATGTTTTATGAGATAGTGAACTTGTAAAGAAAGACAAAGAAATCAAAATAATATGGGCCTCATGATAATGATGATAGTGTATAAAGGAGTCAAAAAATATATTCACGCCTAAACTTTAGGGCTGAATCCCAAAAGTAACTATTCATATTACCAAATTATCTCTTATTTTCTTTTTCATGAAAAATATTTTTTTTTTATATATTAGATATTTTTAAAATTTTTTTTCATATGCAGTTATTTAATATTAAAAATTTTTGGGCCTCAAGCGATTGTTTGAATTGTCTTACCATCGGGCCGCCCCTTCCCAAAATCACCCTTATTTTTTGAACGTGTTAACAAATTAAGCATTTGTAATAGAAGGACAAATGACAATATATCTGACTTTTTGTCTACTAGTATATGATTTTCTCCCCCAGCGAATTGTCCCTTCACTATGCTCAAACACTCCGACCATTTCAATTTGTATTACAGTCAAATTCCTATATAATAATCATTTTATATAATAATATTTTATTATAACATCCAAATTTTTTTAGTATTAATTTTTTATGTTATGTTATACTTAATATATTTTTTATAATATTACTTCGCTAATAGCAACTAAAAATATTTGGAACAAACGTATACTAATTTATGTAATGTTCTACGGACTTTACAGTTACAACAATAATAAACCCAGTAAAATCCCACAGGGAACTTTACCTTTGGTTTTTTAATATTTTTCATTATCGCAAGTGAAATACATAAGTTAAGTTAATATTTTAAAATTCATATTTTGACCGTTATATAAAATGAATGGAAGAAAGTACGTAATGTTTTTAAAAAAAAATGGGGTAATGCATTATCAATGAGCTCTCTATATGTTACGTTGACCATCTAAGATGTTGTCATCTTATGCACATTCATATTCATAGGAAAATTTGAAACAGTTTATTAAAATAATTTTTTGAGAAGGATCCAGAGTCAAGGCTGGAGGCAGCTTTAGTCATTTGAAAGAGTATTACAGTATTATGGAGCAGCAAACACGTGTTAATTGAGAGGAATGGGCCAATAGAATAAAAGTAATTGAAGAAAATGATGATTTCCGTACAATTAACGTNAGAATAAAGTGATTGAAGAAAATGATGATTCCGTACAATTAACGCATTTCATACAACCGAGATTATTGTTTCCCGTCCTAATTCTTCGGGTAAAAAAAATAAAAAATAGTCAGATTTATAACTGGTAATTGAAAAATAGCCACAATTTCAAAAGTAATTACAATTTAATTATTTTTTCATTTAAAAATAAAATCTGAATAAAAACACGCTTAAAAATTCGGAAATATTCCAGCAAAATATGCCGGAGTTTAATTTTTTTTTTTACATATAAGCTTCCACCATAATGTGCTGGAGTTCGAATTTTTTACATATGAGCTTCCAGCCTAATGTGCTTGAGTTCCAACACATAATATGCGAGAAGTTTATGTGCAGTAGCTCCATAATCCAGCATATTATGCTGGAATTTTTCGTGTGTTTGGAGTTCCAACATAATATGCTGGAAGTTTATACATAGCCTGTGACTTTCCGTGTTTCAGCAAAAACAATAATTATTTTTCAATGACTTTGCAAACACTGACTATTTTTCGATGATCAATTCGAAAACTGGCTAGCCCTTGCTATTTTCACTAATTCTTCCACCGGGTCCTAGAAATAATCAAAGAGGGAAATTACAGACTCGCACTGTCAAAATTACAAGCACGAATAAAAGCGGATTCAGAATTTAAATTTAATGGGTTTAACATTTTAAATTTTCAGCATTAAACTCATTATACTTTTAAAATTACGAGTTTAGATCTAATATTTATTGAGACTTTAATAAATTTTTGTATATATATTACTTTGCGTAGATAATTATAACTTCAGATGAACCCATAGCCATAAGGGTACGTCGGGCACAGGACAATGCCCAAATAGGACAATGTAATCAATACCACATAAAAGGACACTTTTGGAATATTATAAAAATTTGTCATTTAAGTTTCGTTACAAGTAATTTCAAGTAAGGTAGGTAGGTAGGTTTAATATTTTAAATCATAAGGGAGTTCAGCTGGGGAGGGCTCTGAAATTTTCCTGAAAATAATACTATAGAAGTTTGTTAAAAAGCGAAATACATTAAAAAATGAAACAAGAAAAAGGAAGACCTGTATCAGATAGCTTCTGCGATCCTGTTCATTAGTTGTTACCTTAAGATATTATATAAGAATCCTGAACTATTCTTAATCCCAAAATCAAGGGATATGTTTTATAAGCAAAAGCTTTTGCTTGGGGCAGTTAGGAACTGGGGGTGTCATCTTTTTCTAAATTCTGCATGTCTGTATATATTGACCGAACAAACACCAATAATTGTGGCAAAAAGTGTAGTAACTCATCTTTTCTGCAAAAAAGGTAGACTTAAGAATAAACCAACAATTTAAAAAATCAAATCTCTCGTGAACTTACACCGAATATAAAAAAGAGCAGCTCGGTGCACGAACTATTTCACATTCACGCAAGGTCCGGAGAAGGGCCGCATCCTAATTCATTTGGAAAATTGTGTTATAGTATAGCTTCTTGTTATAGTGATTTAATTCATTTGCATATTTCTTCCAATTGTGACACTGCTTATATAAAATCCTGCGTACACTACTGGGCGTGATGTAACAGCCTACCCTAATACAAAAATTAGTGACTGATTTCACAGTTCGAACCCATGACCTATATGTTACATGAAGACAACTTTATCATTATTCCAGGGTTCGATATGTATCGAATACAGGCTTAAAAAGGAGAATGAAATTAAGAAAGGACCACTACAGTATCTGTATGGACAAAATTAAAGTACCCTGACGAGTACATTTGGATATGCTGTCTTTACTAAAATCCAAAGTGACATTTACAGTTTTGTCCATCTTTAGAATTTAAAAGGTAGAAGAGCACTGTCGAGATTATTCAAGGCCAAGCATTCCCTTCACCAGTTTTAACCTGAGGACTCCACCTGATTCTAGCTAGGATTCTGTTTGACTCGGAAAGATGACTTCAACACTGACCATTTAACAATTCCAAACGGATCCCTAAGTGGCTCGACTTCCTTCAATTAAGGTCAATCTGGCCCACTAAGATAAGAGGTCCGGACAGGTTCTCTTCTTCTTACCGATTAATCATGTGAAAATAACACGAGCTAACCAATTTTCGAACTGGTAATTAAAAAATATTCAGCATTTGCAATATTATTAAAAAATAGTCATTATTTTGCTGAAATACGAAAAATTTCAACATAATATGCTGGATTATGGAGCTCTTGCATATATACTTGCAGCATATTATGTTGGAACTCTAACATACAAAAAGTTCTAGCATAATATGCTGGATTATTGAACTCCAGCATATAAACTTCCATTATATTATGGTGGAACTCTAGCACATTATGCGGGAATCTCATATGTAAAACATTTAAACTCCAGCATATTATGTTGGAATTTTTCTGAATTTTTAAGCGTGTTTTCATTCAGATTTTAGGGCTATTATTTAGGAATTAGCCAATACTTATTTTTTCCTGAAAATTTGAACTAAAATTTTTAGTTTCAGGACATCTGTATCCTGAAAAATTGAACTGAAAAACTGAAATTCAAGACATATTGGTTAATGGTTAATTCCTAAATAACAGGCATTTAGAGTAGCTAACTAGTGTCATTTCTACTAGTTGATTTTTACAGGCGCAAGTGCACTAGTAGCCACTTTTAAACCTGCTATTTAAAATATATCCACTATTTACATTGTACTTAAAGATTAGTCAATTCCCCCAAACTTCAGGACTAAGTATCCTGAGCTGCTAATTTGGAATTCAGGACTTAGTGTCCCAATTTTTTGAACTATTAATTTAAAACTGCTAATTTAAAATTCAGGACATAAAATTCTAATTTCTAGACACAATATTCGAACTTTAGGACACAATGTCCTGAAGTTTGAACCTTGAGGTTTAAACTTCAGGATGCCGTGTCCTGAAGTTTGAGTGAATGTAGTAATCTTTAAATAGATTGTAAAATGTGAATATATTTTAAACAATATGCTTAAAAGTGACTACGAATTTTATTCATCCCTGTTGTAAAAATGACCACATAACTCATTTAGAGGCTGTATATGGCCTTCCAAATAATCACTCATATTGTTTCCTGCTACACGACCCCAATGGCACATTAGGATTTAATATATTCACTAGGTAGTGTACACAAAACTTGTAATTTGAGTGATGACTTTGAATATCTGTATATGCTCTCATTACTTACTTTTATTTCTTCTCATTACAAACAAAGAAGAAATAAAAATGTAAGAAAAAACAGATTAGTCAGTCTTTGAGTCAACCTTGCTGAAAACAATGGAGCTTTCTACCAAAAAGTAATTCAGAAAATTGCATGTAAAAAAAACTTGAACAGGGGAGGAGCACGTCTCTTGGCGTAATTGTTTGACCACAAGCTGCCTAAATGCTACTGCTAAATAGAAAGTAGTAATACAATATGTTTACCATATTTATCAGTGCAGAGTCTAAGATGATCTTACTAAACAACGGACGAGAAAATAGAACTTGTCAAAGTGAAAGAGGTGCTTCCTAACCCGATATACATGTATACTGTACAAAGTTGCAGCCAGCGTCACCAAGAGGAAAGATAACATGATTAACTTCCAAAAATCCTGAAAAAGAAATGCAGCAGAAGAAACAAGTTAAAACACAATTCAAGTATGCAATCACAGGAATGAATATTTAACACTGGAAAAAAATTGTAGTACTACTGGTTGGATAAAAAAGTATAATCAACAGCTGTTATGAATCAAGTATATGTGATACTTATGCAGAGTGGTCAGGGTTATACAGTTAACAACGAAATAGACATACATTAGTATGATAATACAAAGGCTTCAGTACAATGCAATGATCAATACCTGGGGATTGGATATAATTATGCCCGACAGATAAGTCATCAATTCCAGAACAGACTGTAGTGAGTTTTGAACTCCGCCTACCACACAGCGATCACTTTCACCTACATGATCCTGTCCAAGTCCAGAAACGAAGATAAGATTATGTAATCCGCAATCAAGAAGAATGAACAAGATGACGAATATTCAACTATCCATACCTGCATTTGCTGAATGACCGATAAGTCAAACATCCACAAACCCAAGCGCGATGCAGCCACGCCAGCCATAAGCATAAATACCGATAGAAATTTCTTATGGACCCATATCGAGGCTGCACATACCAACAGGCAAGTCCACTGCACAAGCAATAGACTATAACCAACTTTAAAAATCAACAAGATTCAACGATTACTCTGTATTTCTGCTGGGAAATTTTTATCATATCATATATTCATACAGCTTTTGGCTTCTTCATTATTTACTACTGCAGTTGATACCTGGGACCATATTGACCAAAGACCGCTTCGAAGTGTTGAAATATGTGATTCTAAGATGGGGTAGAGGAATGTTGCAGCTATCCCTATTGTTGCGCTTACTCCACGTGCAATTCCAATGACATATGCAGGAATTCCCTCCCATTCCAGCATAGCAGTCATTAATGTTCCGAAGCTGTGCCACAAATTAGACAAAAACATATAAATATGCCCCGAGTGTAATAGCTTTAAGACATTTTACAAGAAAGTTAAAGTTCTTCTGTGTAGCTTTAAAACCTGTCTCAGGCAAAAACGCAAAACACCGCATCATCCAACCAGAATGCTGATACAGTTTCTAATTTCAAGGACGATCTATTGCGAATGATTTAAAATTCAATTGCATGAACAAAAAGGAAAAGAAAAAGGTTTCCAAAATAACCATAACTACAACGGTAACATCACTAAGCTTTACCTGAGTACGGTGAAAAAGAGTAAGGCAAGGGCCAGCCCTAGGAGGACTACATCTTGCTGCAAGTACACTTTCCATGCGCTAACGCAAGGTAATCTTGAGATTGACCCGACTATTTTCCTCCAACAATTTTCAGATTGTTCCAAGCCAACTCCATCTGAATGAAGCAAGTTTTTCTGTTCATGAGAAATAGAGGGGCTTAAATCCAAATGTGTTGGCGTAGATCTTGATGCCCTCCTCAGGCTGCTCTCACTTAGAGCTGGAATACCATTGTATACAGATGTAAGAAGCCAGTATTCTAAGCACACCGATATAACGTTCCAAAGTGCTAGAGTCATGGCTGATGCAGTTAGAGAAACAAAACTGATAATAAAACCAGTAATGACCGGGGCGAATAGCTTGCAAATCAAATCTATTCGTCTTATGACTGAATTCATCTTCGTTAGCTGCCCAGGAGGGTGGCCTTCTGATATTACGACTACCCTGCCAATAAAGTACATTTGTAAATGCCACCAAATAAGTTATGAATGAAAATTTTAAGAAAAAGAGGTCAGTCGAAACATTCAAATAGCTCACCATTCTCTTTCGATCAAGATGGTTCCGGCAAGAGTAGAAAGTACACCAATAGCTCCAGAGATATTAATTAAACTGACAAGTGAGATAAATGCCATAAAATTGGCAGATATCAAGTCTGCACGGATTAAAAGAGCGATTACGGCACCTCCAGCAACAATAAATGAGAGATTTTGGCTTAACAACCAAAGTTGGAGAACCTGCAATAGAGTGTGAGGATTCTATAGCTAATCAGAAGTAAATATTATGCAATCGATCTTGAAATGTTGTCTATTTTAGAATAGATCTTAATCAATCAAGTTCAGGGGCCTGTTAAGAAAGAATGAGGATCAAACCTTAACATATGTCAACCTATCCACCCACTGTCCAATGACGGGACCAAACAATGCCGTAGAAGCAGACTCCACCACACCATAAGCAGCCGTTAGGAGCAAAGAATCTGGCCAGACGTTGATCATGTACAAACCAACAGAGAATTCCCACATCCTGCAATTAGAAAAATATTCAGAAAATACTATGTTCCTATAACTGAATTTAACAACAATGATTGTATAATCATTATGCCTTTCATGACATGAATCTTATGCTATATTATTATAAATTCTACAGTGGTACTCCGTAGCTCCCGAATCTGAATACCAAGAAAGTCACTGATGTAGACTAAATTGCACATCAATTTTGTAATTGCTAAAATGTCTTATACGCGCTGCACTGCCAAACTAAAAGTTAATTTCCATCGCGTCCATCCAGAAAAGGAATTATGATTCAACCAAGAATTAAATATTAGTTCCGTTGATTTTTTTTACACGAAAAGGTGACAGGGCTGAAGATTTAGGTGCAAACTACTCAAACATTGGGATAAGTGCATCTCATTTCTCAATTGTAAGAACACATTGTGAAATTTTCCTGTAGAGAGGCTCCAATTTGTTGGGTGTCTGGTGTAGGAAATCAGAAATCAGTTCAATTCTAGTGACATCACATAAAAATTCAACCTTTTGTATAGAATGTAGAACTTCATAATTCATAAGAAACTGAAAATTTAAATATAAAAAAAACAATAACATACTCGGTATAATCCCATAAGTGGAGTCTGGGAAGGGCAGAGAGTACGTAGCCTTACCCCTACCTTCAGTGGCGGAGCCACCTTATAGGAAGGGGTGTCCACCTTATAGGGAGGGGTGTCAAATGATACCCCTTCTCGGAAAAAATACACTGTGTAGGTAGGTAAAAAAATAAATTATATATATATACTATGTATTAACTCACCTTAATTTCCTGGTATGTTTACTTTTATATATTTTGACACCCCTTAATCAAAATTCTAGCTCCGCCGCCGCCTACCTTATGCAGGTAGAGAGGTTGATGCCGTTTCCGATTGACCCTCGGCTCAAAGCAAGCATGCATAATCATAACAGTATAGAGAAAAGATATGCAGTAGTGAAAAACTAAAAAAAGCAGTAATAACAGCAAGATAATAGTAAAATCGAAACACAGCATCGCTAGATATTAATAGAAATATAACAATACGAAAATACTAGAACAAAACTACCAAAAAAACAAAGAAAGGAAGCAAAGAACATCAGAACCAAATTGCACAACAATGAAAAATTTGACCAAAGAGCAATTCTCAAATCCAAATCTCAAAATTAAACTAGAAAAGCCAGAAAATAGAGTGCATAATTGTAACCTGGCACTCCATCTAGATAGGAAATGGCCAACATATAGATAATTGAGAAGAGCTGTTGGAAATGGAGTAGGGGTCTGATTTTCTTGGAAAATCAATGGCTCATTCAACATGCTCATATCTTTTTTGTCTGAAGCTGAATTCTTTGTAGTTTTCAAACCAGATAATTTTGGATTTCACCAATATAAAAATAGAAGTTGAGGGTTATGATTAGCTGTGAATCATATGCAGGAATTTAGATTTGATAAACTCTGAATTAAGACATAAAACGATTTCTGACCCTTCACCATTTCATGAATTATAATTAAATACAGTACTAACTAATGTTTTAGAGGTGCAAAACCCATAACCAGGCAATGCAGTTGAGTTCTGACTTACGACTTATTACGAGTCTAGAGAAGTAGTTGCGGAAAATGCCATTCGGCACGTGCACTGAATTGACGTGTGTCATTTCTTTCGTGTAAATTTTTATTGGATTTAACTTACTAAAAAAAATTATATGTTGATTTTTTTAAAATTATATTGTTAAATTTTCGACAGTACATTTTAACACTTTGTAGTATATACTTAATTTGCTTTGTTTTTCAAGTTATTAATTTCACTTAGCTGACGGACGTGATAGTACATGTACTTCCCTCTTAGACCTGATAGTAAAATTTTTTTATAATAATTTCACTTATAATCACGAAATTTATTTCAATAACAGATAAGTGATAAAAGTACCTTTTGTTACATTCAAGTAATCAAGTTTTACTCATTATAATGGTAACAATCATATAATCCATGAAATGGTGGGGAGTTTGGCTAGTAGTGGAGCTAGAGGAAAGAAGGTAACAGTATAAAATTGAGTTTTGAAGCATGAAAACGCCACAAGATATTCGTTCGTAGATTGCAAGTATAAGTAAATTAAGGTGGGAAAAAAAGTACAAGTAAATTAAGGGAGTACTTTTTTTGAATAAAATATGAGTTATATATGTTTATGTAGTAGTAGTATATCTTAAGGAAAATCATACCATAGTCACTCTTAAAATAATAGTCAAATATATATATAATTTTTACACTTTTATGACTATCGGATAAAAATAATTTCGATCGCGGGCTAAAAATGATGTTTGCCCGATAATCTAAAAATATTTATTTTACTCAAGAAAGTATCAGTAAGCAAAAAGTCTAATTTTATTTTACAAATTAAAATTTATAAAATTAAAGAGTTTACAATGCGTTTATCGATTTTTAAGCACAGGTTAACGCATAAAAATGCCAAACAAGTACGGCAATTCAAATGAAATGTCAGGGGAAAAGTAAGTTTATCATCCAAAAGTGAAAAAGAAAAAGAGAATCGTTGTCCATTTAGCAGTCAGATTTGGCATTTGTCTTCTTACAGAGACAGATCTCAGTTTCATGAGGCTTTCAACGGCAAAGGATTAGAAAAACGTATACATACTGACATTTTTTAAAACCTTTTTTCTTTAATTTGGAGCGATTTGAAAAACATATATACTGACAGAGAAAACATGAGATGTATATCGTCCCCATATTGCATGTCTGTCCTTGGACTCTAGTCCAAATTTTATACATAAAAATGATGAAGATTCATTAGGAAAAAAAAAAAACTGAAAGGAGAGAATACTTCCAAAAGACATCTTTGACTTGGTATTCATTTTATGTGAAACCATTATTTTCCGAAGTTTGAACCGCAATAAAGTGAACGACTTGATCGGAAGAAAAGATTAATGCAACAAAACTACAAAATACATAAAAATTCTTTTAGAAAAATAAACAAGCAAATGTTTTTGTAAAAACTTAATCATAAAATTGTTTTTAGAAATTATAAACAATTAAATTATTTGTTAATCAAACCAAAAATATTTTTAAAAAGTCCAAATTTAAAAAAGAATTGATTACACGGGCGGCTCAACTTGATTTGTGGCCTAAGAGGCTCTAAACTTTTTTATATCATACTATATTTTTCTAACCATTTTAGATGCAGTGTTGTTAGTTGTTTTTTCATTCATTCCAAATGCACTTACAATCAATGTAGATTAGTCACTCGTTCATCTTCTGAAGAGCACTCTCTAATATTTTTAATTATTTTAGTATTGTGCCTTAAAATTTTATCAAGAGCTCCATTATGAGATTGTATTAAATTTTCAACTGTTTTCCTTATTTTGAGTTTTGAGTAATTATCTTGTTTCATATTTTCTAATTGACATTTAAATTCTAATAAATAAGAAAAAAAATAATATAGACTTATGATGTAAAAATAAAATAAACAACAAATCTCAAATTTAAAAAATGAAAGAAAAGAGAATAGCATGTTAAAACAATAGAATCTAATTCTGGAATTTGATAAACTAATATTACAATAAATTTTACTGCTTTGATTTGCTCGTTGACCAACCCGAGAAAGAATAAAAAAGAGGTGCAATTTGATTTATTCAATGTGTTTTTGAGACTAAATAGTTTAGTAGGAGGAAAAAAAGAGAGTATAAAGTGCAAGTTTTCCTGTGAGAATAGCAAAAGAAAGAAGATTATTTAGATTATATATGTAAATTATCCAAAATGTATCTACATACACTTTCAATTACACAACAGATACAGTTCTATAGATCTTTATTATTTTTTATTAAACTTTTATACGGTCGAAATAGATTCTGTTCTTCGTACGATTGATCGAGGTCGAAATATAATGGATCGAAGAAAGACTTCGTAATATCGAGATGGGTTCCGAAGATGGTATAAACAAGCTTCAGATTTCAGGTATAGGTCAAACATCGAGTTCGAAGTCATTATCGAGCCCGGGTCCGAATCGAACTATGATGAGATGATTTCGAGCTTAAGGGGGAGAGGCCAACCGGGACCGAGTCCGAATCATCACCTAATCCCGAGTCTCTATCAAGCTCCAGAAGCAATACCGACCAGCACCGAAGCCGATCGAGCTCGAGCTCAAAAGACAAGAGCCGTTGCAAACACACTAAGGGAGAGAATCTCGGCGGAAGTTAGGGAAATCATGGGTTCTCCACTATGTAGTTTTAATTATATCTAAAGTGGGATTCTCTACTATAAAGAGAATGGCCACCTTTCTATAGAGGTAGGTTTTTTGGTGGACATTGTAATTCAAGCATCATATTCTCCTATATTGAAGGATTATTCTTTTAGGCTTCATTAATCGATTCATTTTTGCTTAGTCCTAAAAATCATCTTCTTTCCAACCTTGTTTATCTTGCATTCTTTGCAACCCATATTTGATATTTCTATTTGTCCTTACGATTTGTATTAAGGTATACCATATATTCTTAGAACTACGTACAAATTCAACTCTATCCGTTTTTCGAGTAAAAAAAACTATTTGATATTTTTTTCCAAAAGATTAACACGTAGTAATGGGGCCTAAAACATTTGGGGCCTAAAGCGATCGCTTCATCCGTTTGGCCCTGGAGCCGGCTCTGATTGATTATAAACACACAAGAAAACTAAAACATTGCATCCATGAGAATTGATGAAAGAATAAATTGTACTAATTCTTATTTTAACATGAATTTTATTTTTTTACTTCTCCTAAGATAGTATAACATAGTCCTTTCACAATTCATAATTGCAAGTGATTCCATTATAATTATAGACTCTTGCTTCAATAAGAAGAAAGAATACAACCACGTGACTATTACACCTCAATCCCATATACGGAAAATGGCCATATATGTCACTGAATTATGCGAATTAGGACAGATATGTCCGTCGTTATTAGTTTGGCCCAGATATGCCTAAACCATCCAATACTTGCTCATTCATACCCTTAGTTAAACGGAACCCACTATTTTGTCTTTCTTAAATAATTAATAACCGGACCCAACCAAAATATGCTGACCCGATCTGTTAGGACCCAACTGGACTCAATACGGACATCAATTTCACATATTATTAGAAAATAAAATTTATGTATTTTAAGTACTATGGAGACATAGCTACAAATTATTATTTTGTAATTGAAAATATGAAAATCATACTCAATTTTTCTTTTTAGTTTAACTCCTCATATATTAATAATGTCACAGAAGAAGTAACAGTTTGATATAAAATGAGATAGAGATTATTAATTTTTCCTTTCCGTGTTGCTGCTTGTTTGACAACTAATATTGACAATTCATGACAGCAAAAATGTTGTAATTAATGATTGATGACCCAGACAACAATGAGACTTATGGCGCCTGTTGGATTTAATATCAAAGATGATGGAGCAGAAAAAATAAATATAAAAAATGGAAAAGAAGCACCACTGTTTTAACAATTTATTAATTATTTCATAACAAATTTGTAATGCATAAAATAATCCAATAAACTAATAATCAATCATATAATGATCACTTATCTAAACAAAAAAACGGATCCATCAGGTTAAGTTATAGTGAACATGAAGTTATTTGTATTTGTATTGGTGAAAAATACAAATAGATTGTGAGAAAAATAAAAATAGATAATAAAATGATTGAAGAAAGCACAAACTAATTCGAATATTATATTATTAAAATAATAAATAAATATCAATTACTACTTTTAGTAGGATTATTTCCCCAAATGATGTATAACAAAAAAAAAATATCGATTATCAAACTATTCAAATAAATAAATATGATTATTACACAATTTCTCAATCAAACAAAAATAATATAAAAAAATATATCTTTGAAATAAGGGTGGGTCGGGTCCTAACGGGCCGGGTCAGCAGATTTTGGTTGGGTCCGGCTATTAATTATATATGAAAGACAAAATAATGGGTTCCGTTTAACTAAGGACATGAATGAGCAAGTATTGGACGGTTTGGGCATATCTGGCCAAACTAATAACGACGGGCATATCTGTCCTAATTCGCATAGTTCACTGACATATATTGCCCTTTCCCGTCCCAAATAAGCCGATTTGATTATATTAATCAAAATGTAACAATTGTTTTTCTACTTTGGCAATGGTAATTTATTCTTTCATTATATATGGTAAATAATTTCCATCGTATTTTTTATTGATTAGAGAAATAGAACAATTTGCATTTGTTCATGAGAAAAAAAAAAGTCTTCTGTTAGTTAGTTGACCTATTTTTGTCTTCTAAGAAGAAGTTAAGAATATATAGCTTTCCAAAAACCTTTTTGGAAAAACTCTTAAATTTGTAAGAATTATGTGTTCTTGTTGAAACTAAAAAAGAAGTATAAAACAAATCAAAATGAAGAAATAAAGTTATGAAACTAAAATAAAATCTTAAGTTTAATATATCAATCAAGATGATTGAGGACTTTATTGAATATAGTTTATTTCTGTATTGAGTTAGTTAAACATGATCGTTAATCATCCTTTTCATGAACTCAAGTTTTTTTCCCTTTTAACTTTTATTTCGTAATTTAGATACAAATTTTAATAGAATATTTATGTAATAT